TTTAACCCCTTGAGGGGTACGTACCAGAAGGAATGGTCTGATCTCTAACTTCTTTATAACGGATCTTGTGTTGATAGAAATATTAAGATGTGCCAAGTCCGAATGGAATCCGATGTTTATTTGTTGTTTTATGAGCTTCATAAATATTCAAAATGTTGACCCTTTGTGGGTGAGGAACCAGAAGGAGTGATCCGATATATTTCATCTTCGCAGCAGATCTTGCGTTTGTAGAAATAATGGGATGTGCAAAATTTAAGGAGAACCTGAAGCTTCTTAGAATTTTATGATCGTTTTGGTTTTTCAAAAAAATGACCCTTTGTGGAGGAGGTCATCAGAAGGAATGATCCGATCTCTACTATTTTTTTTAACAGATATTGTGTTGATAGAAATATTGAGATGTGCCAAGTCTAAATGGAATCGGATAATAAATTCGTGTTTTATGAGCTTAATGAATATTCAAAATTTTGTTCCATTTGTGGGGGAAGTACCAGAAGGAGTAGACCGATATATTCCATCTTCACCCCTAACCTTGGGTTAGGAAAAATATTGTGCAGTGTGTAATTTGAATGTAATCGGACACTTACATCACATTTTATAAGAGTAATTATGCAACATGTTGACCCTTTGTGGGGGAGGTACTTTGTGGAGAGGACCAATATTATCCATTTTCGCACATGTTCTAGCACTGATGCAAATATAAAGATTCGAAAAGTTGGAACAAATTCGGACCATCCTTTCTCTTTCTATGCAGTAAATTATTTTCTTGGAATATCTTGACATTTTGTGTGAGAGGTACAAGAAAGAGTGTACCGAAATTGTCCATCTCCGAACTCGATCTAAGTTTGACCATAATATTACGATGTACCAAGTTTGAACCAAATCGCATACTCGCTTCGAGAGTTATCGTGAGCACCAGCCAGGCAGACAGACGGACGGAAATCGCTAGATCGATTCCAAATGCCCTGAAACGAATTTGGTTCAAAGAGACCTAGGGCTTAAAACGGTTTTGGCGGTATCAAATGATATATATCCTCTGTTGCCATTAATTGAATAATATTAGTGGGATATATAAATACAATAAAAACGTCAACTTCATTTTTTAGAGTTGACTCAGAATTCGGAATCGAGGAAAAATTTGGCTGTATTCGGGGTTAAATTAACGATTATTTTACTATGAAGCGCTGATTAGCGATGACTGGGGAATTCCTGTTCAAAAGAACTCGTTCAAGAGTTTGGCAACCGAAATTGGGTTATGTAATCCCACAAATTCCAAAAATTACACTGAAAAAAGTCTTCCTATGAAAGGTCTTCCGATGAAAAAAAATCTACAGTAAAAACTTGTTTTTTCAATTTACAAAGCCGGCATACCAACTTTTTATAACGGCCGTCTTTGGGAATAAGCAGGCCAAAGTAAAAAATACTACATCCGCCATTAATCCTTAGCCATAGGGTTGAGGTATTTTTCTAAAGAAAAATATCTGTCCTCCATCACAGGACAATTTCCTACATCAATGCCAACATATACGCCTTACCTTTCCCAAATAGCAACTTTCGACCAACTCCATCCTTTGAATTCTTGTCGGAATTTCTTTTCTTGGAAATTCAGTTTTTTTCTTGGTCTCCAAACCAAAGTTCCTCGCCATCATCCATTCAAGTTAATAATGGCTTTGTAACCTTTTAATAACCTTTGATATTTTGTGTAAACATTTACGGCATATCCATCTGCAGCTCATTACACAGATTGTGTATTATGGGCACCTACCCAACCAGATTATGGGTCCCAAACAGGATTTTAGACGCTCTTTCAAAATATGCGATACAAATTGCAAAAAAAAACTACGAAGCTACCAAACAAAGGAAACGGGAAGTAACAACATTCAATGAAGATGAGAAAAGACAAAATGAGACAAAAATAAAAACAACAACAACAACAACGATACGAAAAACAGGTCCTTTGGGCTTGAATGAAAACAACAAAAACACGTGAGTGGTTAAAACTAAACACTGGCATCTTTGCAAAGCATTGCAAAGAGCTAGGGAGGGCTGAATTCAAAGCGGCGGCACTCACAGTAAACAAGACATGTGTATAACAAACCAAAACAACAGGAACAACAACAACAAGGAGTCATTTGCCTAGGCAAAAAAAGGAAGAGAGCAAGAAGGCCAACAAAAACTTGTTAGGCAACAAACACCAAGCAATGCGCGTGCTACCTCCAATAGCCATGCTCGCAACAAAATCAGATCAAAACAAAAAAAGGAGGAAAAACAAGAAGCAACAAACATGTGTAATATTCATTACTAACGCTGCTTCTGCTGGGGCATGGGTAGTATTACACTCCAAGGGGCACTACCCCGCCACCCATCACCACCGCTTATCCTGAAAACTAAATACACATGAATCTGAATACAGCAGCGTTTGTTGTTTGATTCCTCCCGGAAAAATGTAACGACGTAAAAGAATGATAGCGTAAAACGGAAGAGCCTAAAACTCGTGCCAAAGAAAGCAACAATTTGCAGTGGGGGGAGGGGAAAAGCAGAGGAGAAGATAAAAATCTGCGCATGTCACAACCGGATGGAAATGAATACAACATCACCCAAAACAAATGAGTAGCGGGCAATGGAGAGTCGTGGGAGAGAGTCGTGGCTCAATCTCTCAATCCTCAAAAAACCCTTGAAATTCCCCAAATTATCCTCGCCCACACCCATTCTCGGTCTCGGGCAACAACGTAAACAAGTCTCAAAAATCCCCCAAACAAAGTCAAACACGCGAAATCAAAACAACAACATGTGACTGGAAAGACAAATGGAGCATACCCAGCGGATTTTTTAGCACAGACATACATCTTCCATCTGAGACCAATGACAATGTGGGTGCGATCCATCCAAAGCCTGTATACAATTTCTACTTACATTTACACAGCGATGACCTAGGCAGTCAGACGAGTCCGAAATCGACCGACAATGTAAGCGAATGTTGGATGGGTCCGAAATCGACCGATAATGTAAGCGAAGGTTGGATGGGTCCGAAATCTATCCACATTGTAAGCGAAGATTGGATGGGTTCGATTCCACCGACATTGTAAGGGAAGTTCGGATGGTCTTTTAAAGCAATTGCTGTATTAAGGTTAGATTGTGGATCTTAAATTTCAGCTGTTTTTTTTATACCCTACAACACAAGGTGGTCAGGGTATTATGTCTTTGTACATTTGTTTGTAACAGACAAAAGGAAACGAGATAGACCCATAGTTCCTTTTGATGATCTGCATAGAATCACTTTCTGAGTTGATTTATGCATGTCAGTCCGTCTGTCCGTCTGTCCATGTATTTTTGTGAACAAAATGCAGGTCGCATTTATTATCCGATTGAGATGAAATTTTGCAAACAACATTTGTTTGGCCCAAGGACGAACCCTATTGAAATTGGAGATAATCGGTAAAAATTTAGATATAGCTCCCATATATATCTTCGTCCGATTTGCCTTTTATTGTGCACCAAACGTGCAATATCAGCACGAATAGTATGAAATTTTGCACATAAAACCAAATTAGGCCTGAAAATATGTGTGACAAATTTGATCGAAATCGGTTCAGATATAGCTATAGCTCCCATATATATATTGTTCATCCGATTTGTTATTTTTGTCCTCCGCAGCCGTAATTTTGCACTCTGTAACAACAATATTTGGGGATATATATCAAATGCAGCTCAGAAATACCTTTGCTAAATTTTATCGAGATCGGTTCAGATTTGGATATAGCTCCCATATATAACTTCGTCCGATTTACCATTTATTGAGCACCAAACGTCTAATATTTGTCCAAATGGGATGAAATTTGGCACTTACGACCGAATTGAGTCTAGAAGCTAGTATGTCAAATTTGATGAAGATCGGTTCAGATATAGCTATAGCTCCCATATATATTGTTCATCCGATTTGTTATTTTTGTCCTCCGCAGCCGTAATTTTGCACTCTGTAACAACAATATTTGGGGATATATATCAAATGCAGCTCAGAAATACCTTTGCCAAATTTTATCGAGATCGGTTCAGATTTGGCCATAGCTCCCATATATAACTTCGTCCGATTTACCATTTATTGTGCACCAAACGTCTAATATTTGTCCAAATGGGATGGAATTTGGCACATACGACCGAATTTAGTCTAGAAGGTAGTATGCCAAATTTGATGAAGATCGGTTCAGATATAGCTATAGCTCCCATATATATTGTTCATCCGATTTGTTATTTTTGTCCTCCGCAGCCGTAATATGCACTCTGTAACAACAATATTTGGGGAAATATATCAAATGCAGCTCAGAAATACCTTTGCTAAATTTTATCGAGATCGGTTCAGATTTGGATATAGCTCCCATATATATCTTCGTCCGATTTGCGTTTTATTGTGCACCAAACGTCTAATATTTGTCCAAATTGGATGAAATTTGGCACTTACTACCGAATTGAGTCTAGAAGCTAGTATGTCAAATTTGATGAAGATCGGTTCAGATATAGCTATAGCTCCCATATATATTGTTCATCCGATTTGTTATTTTTGTCCTCCGAAGCCGTAATATGCACTCCGTAACCACAATATTTGGGGAAATATATCAAATACAGCTCAGAAATATCTTTGCCAAATTTTATCGAGATCGGTTCAGATTTGGATATAGCTCCCATATATATATTTTTATCCGATTTCAAATTAATTTCGCACCAAATGGGCAATACAATTCCGAATTTAAAAGATACAAATGCTTCGGCATATTTAGTCCTTTGAATTTTAAATTATAATTATAATCATAGCGTGTATGATTGAATTCTCCCATAAAAACTTTTAATTATTAAGTGGAGCTCAACTAAATTAGCAAAAATAAATTAAAATCGGCCCCGCCCGACTTTAGAACTTCCTTACCTGGTTTTTATTAAAATATACTTGCATATTATAAAACAGTGTTTTCAACAACAAAATATTCTTATTATAATAAAAAAAATGCAAAAAAGAAATTCATAAATCTTATTTTAATTTATTTTTTGCAAAAGAAACAAATTTCAACTAAAATAACAAATTAAATTTTTCCGATTTTTTTATTATAGGACATTGTTCGGAAGTGTCTGGCCTTATGTATTTTGAAACAATTTCTGATTTTCTTGGCGTAATCCTGTTCAGTAAGTCGTTCACATCGGACAGCTTCTGAAATAAGGATGGAAGAGCACATAGAGCACATTTTTTATTTTTAAAAAGCATTTACTATAGAATAGACTAATATATGTAAGAAAAAACTTAACTTACCATAAATGGCCATGTTTAAAAGTTTAAATTCCTTAAATGCCTTTTTGTTTTGGGTACCATCATAGTTGTGCGATAATATTATAGAAATGTCAATAATCTTGCAGAAGTTTTTAATAAGGCCATCTGGCGAAATAATAATTTTTATGATATCAACCTGTAAGAAATTCAATTATTAATGGATTATTAATGGATTAACGGAGTGTTTTTTTATATTCTTACATATTTTTCAAAATCTTCTCCAATTTTGTTCTCCATTACTGTCATATCTTCCGTTGATTTGAGTGGGAAGCTTGGCGTTGGTGTTATTACAATATTTTTCTTCACCATTTCTTTTAAAATTGCCAATTCTTGTGTATGGGCTCCTGTATTTATTTCAATTTTCTTTTCCATTTCATCTAAACGTTTATTTAACGCCAACTGGTTACACAAAATTTGATCCAATTTATGAATGATTTCATTTGTTTTGTCTGAGATCGTAAAAATAAAAATATTATTATCGAATGACAAATAATTCGTTTTCAAATACCATTACCATTTGAAACTTCATATTTTGTTTTGTTAAAAAGCGCCATTTCCCAAAAAGAAAATTATCTGCTGTCTGAATAATAGGTATAAGGAGGAAACCATCATCGATCGGAAATGAAACATACATATTTATAAGCGTTATCATCTACAATAATCTTTTCTTTGTGAGATAGAGAGTTATTTGATACAACGTAAATTCCAAAATCGCCAGAGTTTACAGGAGCTTCATAAAAAGACCTTTTTCTCCATATATCGTCTGCCAAATAAATTTCCATCCCGTAATTGGAAATTTGAAAAGGGAAATTCGTTTTTAAACTGCTCATATTATCTGGTACTTTTTTCGTCAAAGTAAATTCTTTTGTAGTATACTTGCATATTTTATTCATCCCGATTTTGTTTTTTGTAGGGGCAATACTCGTTGAAGTTGTTGTCTACTTGCCGCAAAATATTTGTGGGACTTTTGATTTTTTTTTTGTTTCAAATTTGTAGGCAGTAATTGATTGAAGATTTCCAAATTCCTTAGTACATTGAGTAATATGTAACATATTATGTACATTGTACGACAAGTATTTTTTGGGGTATAGCAGCTCGAAATTTTTTACAAAATCTTTTTGAGCATGTTATCCACAACTGAAAAATAATCAGCAGCATTTGTGGAGCAATGAAATAAAAGTAAATGATAATATTAATCTTCATTTAAGATTCCTTGAAGTACTTTTATCGACGTGTATAAAATAAATTGGCGGAATGGCGATTGCTTTCCACCGAGGTAATTAAGCTAAACTTCGAGGTTTTCTTCCAAATTCACAGGGCACATACTTAGCTAGGAATTTAAGATTTTCGGAGATACATTCCAAAATTTTCATTTGATAGGTTAGGTTAAAGGATGTGTGGTTGTGTAAAAACAACCACTCCACTCGGAGACCTATTGGCCCATTGTGATCATCCTAATTTAGAAGAAATGAATGTGAAAAAAAAGTTAGGAGGTTAGAGTAGAATAGATAGGAAATAAAAAAGTTAGTGGGTTTGCATCCACGGTGTAGGCAGCGTGTCGTCCTTAGCCATTTTAGTCTTCTGGCTAACTGAAGAATAACTACCGGGTCGGTTTCGGAGAGGCATGACAAATCGGGCAGAATTTGCTTACCTAGAAGCCTATGTCTTACTCCGATCAGGGTAGGACAGTGACAGCGTAAGTGTTCCTGTTTCCTCCTCATCTTGGCAAAGTCTGCAGTATTCAGTGTCGTCACCCCCCCCCCCCCCCCCATTTTGAAGTCATGGCCTTTATGTTGCAATGACCAGTAATTAGACCCACCACAAGCTTCAGGTCCAACTTCGTCATGGATGTGAGTGACCGTGATCTCTTTTCTGAGTTCACTGGCCAAATCTTTTTGGAGATGTTACATCCCCTTCCAGATAGCCAGTTTTGTTGAAATCTCCCAAGATAGTGATTATGAAGTACTTGAAAGAAATGGTATAGAGGTGGCTTCACTGAGGTCTCAATCTCTAGATCTACTGACTCAGATCCGCGTCTGGCCAATTCGTCGGCAGATTCATTGCCAGAAATGTTGCAGTGTCCAGGAACCTAACAGAGGTTGACAAACTACTTTACTTTTTCCAGCGCAATCTTGCACTCCAGAACAGCCATAGATAAAAGAATTTAGAGCTTTTAGGGCCGCTTGACTATCGACATATATAGTCACCGGTCCGTCCCGTTCATTGATTCTGTTTTCCAACAGCTCTATGGCCATTCTGACAGCAAAAATCTCTGCCTGAAAAACACTACAATCGCTGTTTAGTCTGAAAGATCGTTGGATACTTAAACTTTCACAGTTTCATTTGATAACTTAAAATGCAAATTTCTTTTTTATTAACACAGCAATTTAAGATTTTTTTACATACGCCCAAATCCATTAAAGGGATGGGTTCGATTGGGAATTGTGTCACCATCTTTATACCCTTCTCCTCAAGAATATTTTTAAAATTCATGTATTGTGACCCTAAAGGACCGGACTGAGCCGAAAAAACGGTAGTTCTTTGGAGAGTGGTACCCAATTGCAGGCATTTGGAACATCCATGAAATCCATTGTGACCAACAATTCCACATAAGCCATAAAGCTCGTGCAGGACTGTCACAAATAAATGCTCTTACTAAAATTTTAACTTTCACGCTTCCTAAATCAATAACATTTTGATTTGTATCTAGTTCATACATTAAGTCGTGTAAGTGTGTATCCACATTTGCGGATTTTTTGTCGCCAAGATATGTCCCAATTAAAAATACTTCCGAGTCCGGAAAGTTATAAAAATGCCCCAGAATTGGCCACAAGGTAGAACTGGAACTTTTAAAAAGGGGCAAATCATCTATGCCAATTTCCAAAAATAGTTCTTCTATTTTTATACCCTCCACCTTGGAAAGGAGGGTATATTAACTTTGTCATTCCGTTTGTAACATCCTTAAATATTCGTCTTAGACCCCATAAATCAGCATAAAATTCTAAGTCGATTTAACGATGTCCGTCTGTCTGTCTGTTGAAATCACGATACAGCCTACATTATTTGACGTAGAGCGCCAAAATTTAGCAGAGCTATTTGCATTGTGTCTAGGATGGTTGGTATTGAAAATGAGATTTATCGGTCCACGTTCTGGTATAGTCCCCATATAACGGTACCTCCCGATATTCGGTATTTTGATGATTTATGCCACATTTTTCACGGATTTGGTATTTGTAGGTCATAACGGGTCCCTGAGCGTATGGCAAAACATTGCATGTATAGGTCCACGTTGTGGTATAGCCCCCATATAAAGGTACCTCCCGATATTCGGTATTTTAGTTTTTTTTTGCCACATTTTTTCACGGATTTGTCTAAAAATTGGTATTTGTGGGTCATAATGGTTTCCAGCTCCGTTGGCGAAACATTGCATGTATGGGTCCATGATTTGGTATAGCCCCCATAAAACAGTACCTCCCGATATTCGGTATTTTGATGGTTTTTGCCACATGTTTTCACTGATTTGTCTAAAAATTGGTATTTGTGGGTCATAATGGGTCCTAGTTCGTGTGGCGAAACATTGTAATTATAGGTCCACGTTTTGGTGTAGCCCCCATATAACGGTACCTCCCGATATTCGGCATTTTAATTGTTTTTGCCACATTTCTTCTAATGTTTCTTTTACTCTAAGGTGGAGGGTATTAAAAGTTTGGCCCGGCCGAACTTAATGTTTTTTTACTTGTGTCTGATAAAATTTTCTCCTTAAATGCCAATACACGACCAATTTTAATACCAATATGCAGATAAGTACCCGGTGTAACAGTCCTTGTAAGCATATTATTCGTTTTCACAAAACTGTTGACTGATGCTGGAACGTCCAACGTCCTTCCGACCTAAAAATATCTAAAAGTTCGTTGCAGCATGTTTTACCAGGTAGGTGTTTCCTATACCAGGACGACAATTTGGAAGTTAATCCCCCTGTATTTTCTGCAGAAACGGTCTCACTAGTTGATTGCTGAAACAAATCGTCCTGATCGTTGCATAGAATCTGGTCATCTAATACAATATTATTGTTTTCCAAACAGTCCGTCCTTAGCTGTGTATTTCTTTTTAAATTGGCGGCTTCCACTTTCTTCAATCTTCTTAAATTTCTCTTACTGAACCCGGACATTTTTATTAAACTTACTTGACACACAACACTTACAATATTCTTATTTTATTAACTTATTTTATTGTTTTATTTTATCAATTTATTTTGAATATTAACACCACTTGCACTTTCAAAAACACTTCACAGAATAAAATTTTGCTTCAAAAAAGAAAGAAGCATCAACAATGAATAACGGTACAACACCGGCTGCAACAACACACAAAAAAACTTTGCAAAACAATACAAAGGCATCCGATTCAGATGCCAGTGCGATGGACACTTTTTATTGTAATTTGTTTTGTTCTTTAATTCTAACATGGATTTTGTTTCACAATATGTAATCGCAAGCAATACGACTCATCCGATTCGGATGCTAGTTGTATGCTATTAACCACTGTTATTTCATTTTTTCCTATTGACAATATAACATACATTTGGATGGGTATTAAATTGTAATGGCCAGCGAATTGCTGGGTATTTATCTCTCTATCTCTCTCTGTTGCTCTCTGATTCTCTCTCTCTCTCTCAGATTCAAATATGTCCCAATATGTAATAGTGTGCTATTGAGATGGAGCATAGAGTAGGGACTCTCAATTTGAGAGTTAGCCTACATCTCCCGGTGAGAGCATTTCAAGTCTCCTCTCTTCATTCAGAGTATTTCATGTCTCCCTCTCTCTTCATTTAAATATCACAACACTGGCGAAATGGGGAGTCTGAAAAATCAAAAACAAAATAACTAGTTTTGTGCCAAGGCACGTTGCTGTAAAGTGGAGCTGCTGCCGCTGCTGCTATGGTTGCATGTCAAACACCTACAGAAAAAAGCATGCATTTTTATACGCAACACAAACCCACACACATGTGTGCATCCATTTAGGTGTGTTCCCAGCATCTTCATGACGACGAGAAAAACAATAACAACAAACTAGCCACGAATAGTTTTATTTCCCTACTCCAAAAGAGGGTCTTCTTTGGATGGAAGACGTTCCATAGAAGTCCCTAATGTGAGCTTGCTATTTCCAGAGGATCTTCTGGCTGCAATTATTGACAAGTGCTTTTAAAGGGCAGGTCTGGTCGTCTGAGAAAAGTCATACCAAATTTGGTATTGCGTGAACGGAAATCTGAAATCTGCCTGAAATTTGAAATTTGGAATTTGGATTATTGTTAGTGTGTTGGGTTGAGATTTGAAGGTGATTTTGGAAATTCGTACTAAAAATTAATAAATGGTATTAAATTTGGTATTTGGGTAAGGGATTGAGTTGGAAGCACATTTGGTGTGGTTGATACATGGCGGGGCTTTTGGAAATATTTGCTTAAAAGTACGAAAAGTGTTAACTTTGGTATTTGGGGAAGGATTATATTTGGGAATCTGAATTTTGGATTAAGGGTCTTTGATGTGGTGTAGAAAAGACAAACTAAAGGGTGTACGAAAAGACTGAAATGAACCAAATTTGCTACCATTTGAAATAATTTGAACTACCATTTGGAACCATAGTGATAAAATCTGATGTAAGGAGGTGGTTTTGGAAATGGGTACTAAGTGTAAGAATTGTACTAAATGGTTCTATATTTGTTACAATTCCATTTTGGCTGAACGGAAATGTGTACAAAAATTGCATTAAAAGTGCTATTTAGTACTTTATTTAGTACAAATTGGCATTGGGTGAACATATAGTACTTTAAATCTGAAATTTGGTATTAGGATCGGTGTACATCTGTAGCCCGGACTTTTGGAGGTAGTTTCGGAAATACGTACTATAATTGTATGAAAAGTTCTGAATGGTACTATATTTAGTATTGGGTAAAGGTATACGATTGGAATCCTCAAATTTGATATTAATATCTCTATATCTCTAGAGCTAAATTTGGTATTGGGTGAAGGAATAGAGCTGAAATCCTAAAAGTTGATATACATAGATGTAACTTTTATTGTCTGTTTTTAAGATATGGAGGTGGTTTCGGAAATGTGTACTATAATTGTACGAAAAGTATACATTTGGTGTTGGGTGAAAGAAAGAAATGGTGTTTAGGAGATATGGAACGGCAAAGTTATACGAAAAGAACTAAATGTTACTCAATTTGGTATTGGATGAAGGAATAGAGCTGGATTCCCGAAATTTGCTATTGAGATCTCTGTTGGTATCTCGTGACGAATTCGGAACTGCGTACTATAATTGTACGAAAAGTACTACTGGTACTAATTTTGGATCACTGTTGGTGTCTAGAGTGGATAGATGTAGATTGTTCTGGATGTGCTGTGCTAAACCTTGTTGTTTCTAGGGTTTACATATGGAGACCTTGAAAATGTTTTGTATAGAAAAAAAATGGATGTGACCCACATTGTGCAAAGGTTTTACTCATATCCAGAAGGTTTTACTAAAATCAAAATGAATAATTTTGAATTTTTTCCTTATATTATTTTCGAAAAAGGAAAAATTAAATACAATAAAAAAATCTTAAAAGTCTGAAAATTTAGTACGA